TCTCCTTAAACCTTAAATTCATGGCACAATTTAGCTACTATTTTACCCCAATATTTTTGTCTTCAAAACAGACAGGTAAAATGAAATAATTTTGGAAGGCTACATTTCTTTAACATCTTTCCCTGGAACATCTTCAAATGATGTATGAAAAATAACCAAGCTTTTCAGTATGTCAAAATCACTTGAGTACTTAAAGGAAAATTGATTCTGACACAGCCCAAGTCCTTCTTCCCAGCCCAGCATTCTCTCATCCTGATTCATTCTTCCTCTCTCCTTCTCTTCCTATGCTAACAGAACTTCCACTACCTTTGATTCATACCTCTCTTTAACAGCTATATCTAACTGTAGACTATTTCTTCCGAAGGCTTGATTACACCACACTTCACAGAGTCATCAAACCTGTTTTCTTTCTGAAGTCCTTTTCTTCCCCCATAGTTCTTTATTTTTCCGATCACCTATTCAATTTACACTTTGTCATTTATTGAATGAATCTTATTTCAGCAGTATCTTTTACCTTCTTCCTTCTTTTGATGTAGTCCACTTCAGTTTCATCCATCTTTTGACATGTTTCTTAGTTCCTTATTTGCAGGATTACAAACCTGACTCTTCCTTTGCATTTCGTTTTTGCTTGAATCAAAAACCTGAAAATCAACTAGACTTGCTTTGCAGGAAATTTCTTTTGTCTTTCCATGCCATTTTTCTTTTCACTAATCAGTTCAACTTCTTCTAGTTAAGAGAGTATCTCATATCCTTGAACTTCTAGTGCTGGGAACCATCCTTTTTTTTTCCATCTGTTGAGTGTGCACAGGACATAAAACATCCAGAGGACATCACAACACCAGAAAAAGACATGAGACTGAATAAAAAGGGAGAATGCCATTCTGTGTACTTCATTGGAAAAAATCAACAAAGACATGTATTGGTGCTGAAGAGTATCTTGGTTAATATTTTTCACTCATTTAGTAGTCAGTAATGATGAATACAGTACAAATAAAAGACATGGTGATTCTGTCAGAGCTAGTAAGAAATACTTTACCCCTTCCTTACCAAAAGGGTTAAACTGCTGCACAAGGCATGTCTTACCAGCCATACTATTTTTAAAACACTGCTTTCTTCAGAAGCAAAATTGCAGGCTTTTAATACTTATTATTAACACCAGTAGTAATATTATAGACTTGGATTCTCTTTTCCCACTAATTAATTTTGTCAACTAATTAATGTGCTAATTTAATAAATGAGAATAGCAAGTAATAGGATTTTAAAAAATTATGATAGAAAAATACTGATTTCAAAATATTGAGCCAAGAAGATACTGTTTTCTTTCAAGACCCCAAAGTGTGCTAGTTGGCTTTTGTTAGCATTGAAGTTTTGTTTAGTTTTCTTTCTTGGAAATAAAAACCCAAGTATATATGAAAGCAGCTGAAGGTACAGAAGATTAGCAAAGTTCTGAGCTTTAGCATGACCGTGATAATTCTGAAGAGTTCTATGTCTTGGCAGAGAATAAAAACACATTATTCTGCCCTCTGCAATACCCCTGAGCATGCATTTTAACAACACGCGTGGAATATGAGCGCCATCCAGCGGCAGAGCAGGTAAATTGCAGGTTAGACTTCACTTAAACTAGTATAAATGCATTTCTGCTAATTTCTCTGGTAAAAGGAGAAAGTTCTTTTTGAGTACACTGCACCTCAGCTGAACAGGGCATTTTAGTCTTTCAAGGTGGTTAATGCTATCAAGTATTTTTGGAGTATTTAAAACCCTTTAGCAAACACATCCTTTTTTTCCTGCTACTGCTATCACATGCATAACTGATTTCTCCCTTGTATAACACCATCACTGATCGCCTTATGCCAGCATGAGGATTCATCACCTATCTGCTGCTCTCTGAGAATAAGGTTACAATTGTTCAACGTCTTTGTGTTCTTGGGGGAGTTTTTTCCTTTTTCATTCTTGCTTCTTTTTTTTCCCTGTTTTTTTAAAAAATTCTCTGAATGATACTCTGTAAGGTATCAGTAAAATTTTGATATATCAGAAAAGACTGAAAACAGGCATCAAGACTGTCTGTCTGTCCTGCACTTCAATGAATTTGAGAACCTCCATTGAACAGTATAGAGGTGACAG